AAAAAAAAAGCACAGTGCAGGGCTTGAAACACAACTCTGAGATGGGAAAAAAAATGTCTGCGCTGGGGAAATGGGCTTATTAATAGCAAAAAATAGAGAAAACAGGGCAGCCTGCCTGCTGCTGCCATTGCTCATGCTGGGGGGAGGTTGGGGTGATGCAGGGAGAGCTTTGGGGTGCTGGGTCAACCACCGTCCCCGATCCTATAGCTGCTCCCTGCAGGGCTTGAAACACAACTCTGAGATGGGAAAAAAAATGTCTGCGCTGGGGAAATGGGCTTATTAATAGCAAAAAATAGAGAAAACAGGGCAGCCTGCCTGCTGCTGCCATTGCTCATGCTGGGGGGAGGTTGGGGTGATGCAGGGAGAGCTTTGGGGTGCTGGGTCAACCACCGTCCCCGATCCTATAGCTGCTCCCAGAGTTCAGGGGATTATTTTGGTAGCACTCAGTAACTCACATTCCCAGCTTGATTTTTCTTCCTTTTTTTTTCTTTTTTTTTTTTTTTTAAAGACAATTATAGAGATGAATAGTTCCCAGGTCTTAACATGCCTGCTGGAAGCTGGAAAGAATTACCCACTGAGCAGCACTGGGCTGCTAGGGATCCTCTGTCAGAAAAAGGGGGGTTTTTTTTATTTTTTGGGGGTTTTTTTCACCATTCTCAGCCCCGCCTTGCTTTTTCCTCCTACGTCGTATCCTCGCTGCTCGCATGGGGTAGCCACAGGCAAAGGAGTAGAAAGAAGGGTTGCAGGAATAAATTTCTGGGTTTTTTTTTTTTAATGCCATTTTTTGTTAACAAGTTTAACATTTCTGGTCTCCACCTTGACACTGTTTGATAGTGCTTCCCATGGATTGGGACTTCAGCTGATGTCTCCATCTGCTCCATCTCCCAGGCTCTGTCTACGGGCAGGAAAAACCCCATGAACTAGAGCGGGCGAGTCCTTGTCCCCTTCGATCCCATGGGGTGACCTTCAATGTTCTATTCTTAGCAGCACCTCATTGTATTTTTGCTTCTCTGCACAGTAAATAGTTATTTATGGAAATGGATCTGTCGTCTGGTGGGTGCAAATAAGGGGGTTTAGGGTGTGTGTTTGGTCTTGCTGGATGCAGCTGGCTGGAGCATCTTGAAGTTGACGCTGGAGGTGGTCCTAGTGATGGTTTGGGTGAGGGATTGCTGTGCCCTTGGTGTCTCAAGCCACTTCTGAAGGAGGACATGGTGATTTAGGTCCTGTAACTCCAACCAGAGCTGAAGCAGCATGTGAATCCCCCAATCCTGGGTCAACTTAAATGGTCTCAATAGTGGTCTTAACACATGGCTTTTGGAAACGGTGGTTGTGCTATGGGCGTTGGTGTGTGCATGGAGAGCATCATGAAGACATGGGCAAGCAAGGACTTGCCAGCACTGCATCACTTTTGGGTTGTGTTACTTCTGTCCCCATGCTCAATTTCTCTCTTTTTTTTTTTTTCCCCTTTTTTTTTCTCCTCTTCTGTAGATTCCCAAGTTCTTCAGGAGCCGGGGGATCGGTCACACTGGTGCGTGGTGGCATACTGGGAAGAGAAGACACGTGTGGGTCGGCTGTATTCTGTCCAAGAGCCCTCCCTGGATATCTTCTATGATCTACCTCAGGGGAATGGTTTCTGCCTCGGACAGCTCAACTCGGACAACAAAAGCCAACTGGTGCAGAAGGTCCGTAGCAAGATCGGCTACGGCATCCAGCTCACCAAGGAAGTGGACGGCGTGTGGGTGTACAACCGCAGCAGTTACCCCATCTTCATCAAGTCGGCCACACTGGACAACCCCGATTCCAGGACGTTGCTGGTTCACAAAGTGTTTCCAGGTTTTTCCATCAAGGCTTTTGACTACGAGAAGGCGTACAGCTTGCAGAGACCCAACGACCATGAGTTCATGCAGCAGCCGTGGACCGGATTTACTGTTCAGATCAGCTTTGTGAAAGGCTGGGGCCAGTGCTACACGAGACAGTTCATCAGCAGTTGCCCGTGCTGGTTGGAGGTTATTTTTAATAACCGATGACACGAGACAAAGTGGACTCATGACATTTATACTACTTTGCTGCTATTATTTCCTTCTGAGTGCTTGCTTTTCATGCGGACTTTTTGTTTTTGTTTTGTTTTGTTTGTTTGTTCCTCCCCCCCCCCCCCCCCCTTTTTTTTGGAGTATGAAAAGTTTTTTTTTTTTTTTTTTTTTTTTTTTTTGCCTTGGTTATTTTGATAAATATATCTATTTTTTAAAAGTGTGAATGACCAATAACTCAGAAGGGCAAGAGAAGGGTACAAGGGGATGGATCGCATACGGTAATTACTTCACGCCTCTGAAAGGATTATCCGATGTGATCAATGGATTCAGAAGCCACTTGCTATTTGTTTCAACTCCTTCTCTTGGATAAAAAAAAAAACAAGATAACTTACGCATCACCTTCCCTTGCCCACCAGCCATCCCTGGTGATGGTGACACCGAGACCCCTTTCCCAGCGGTGCTAACCCCACATTGCCGCCGAAGGATGGTGCAGAACCCTCCCAACCAAGTCTTTACCCACCCTTTTAGTTTTAATTTTCTTGTAGTTGGGTTCACTTCTTGTCACTGTGTTCATCCTTCCACTGCTTTTTTTTTTTTTAATTATTATTATTATTATTTTATTTTTTTTAGTGGTCATGGATTGATATAAGGGGATAATACAACAGTAAAGAAACCTCATGCATGGCCTGCGCTTTATAATTTGAGCTGAGACGCCGAAGCAACAGAAGCCTAAGCCTGAAAAAAAACCAAAACAAAACCAACAAAACAAATGAAAAAAAAAAAAAATAATGGGAAAACAAAAGAAAAAAGTGTTCATGACAGTTGGTCTGTTGTAACCTGCTTAGATCGGGTTATCCCGGTACCATCCTATCTGGAAATGCAGTTGTGCTTTCATTTCTTCTTGAATTCATACACGAGTATGATACTTTTACACTGTTCTTAGCTCAGTGAGCATGTTTAGACCTTAACATAAGCTATTTTTCTAAATATAAAGGTTTAAATGAACAAGAGAGCATTCTCATTGGAACTTTAGCGTTGTAGTGCTTTGGAGATAAAACACACACACACACACACACACAGAAAAAAAAAAAAAGGACTCCTCAAAAAAACCCTGAGATTTATTAAAGAAAAAAAAATGTATTTTATGTTATATATAAATATATTATTACTTGTAAATACAAAGACGTTTTATAAGCATCATTATTTATGTATTGTGCAATGTGTATAAACGAGAAAAAAAAATAAGAAAGATGCACTTTGCTTTAATATAAATGCAAATAACAAATGCCAAATTAAAAAAAAAAAAAAGAACATGAAATTGGTGTTTTTTTCTATGGGTGTTATCATCCAGATGAATGTTTTTTCTAAGGGAGTTTATGTTCCATTAAAAAATAAAAAAAGTACACTTGATCAGGCTGTGCCGAGTGGCTTTTTTAGTGGTGGGGGATGAGGCAGGCAGGGCGAGATGCTGCTCTAAGTGGGTACCACGTGGGGATACCCACCCCAGCCCTGTGTGGGACCACTCTGGCGTGGGTAACCAGACTTCTTCCTCTCCTTCTCTCCTTCATCTCCCATATCTCTGGAAATAAAGGTGTTTTTTTTTTTCCTTTTGCCTTCAGGCATTCGTTGCACCACTCTGTCACATCTCACTTGCACATATCCTACTAGATGATCTTTGAGGTCCCTTCCAATCCAAACCATTCTATGATTCTATGATATCCTCTGCCAGGGAGAAGGTCCCTGCAGCTGGTTCCTGCCTTTTGTGGAGAGAGAGAAACCACCAGAGTCCTGGAGGCTGAAGGATTTGGGAGAAGTAGGAGGTCTAGATGGGCTTGAAAGCACCCAACCTGCCTGGATGCCAGGAATGTGACTTCCAGCCTCTCCTGTCCTTCACGCAGTTAATGTCCATAGCTTTAGATCAGGTTTTGTGATCATCTGGACCAGGTTTGCTCAATGCTGTGCTTTTCTGTTCAACGGAGATGTGCCCAACCCAGAGGGATTTATTGAGGTGCCGTATTTGGTTTGCTCTGAATGGATTGTGCCTTCAGTTGGATTCATGTCACTGAGCCCATGAACCAGCTTCAAAATGGCTTTTGATCATGTATGAGGTTTGCATGGCAGTTTCAATTTCCAGGCTCTTGCCTCTCATCCTGCAGGTGGGATTCAGCATCAAAGGCTCAGGGCATGATGGGTGCACCCACCCTGCCTTGCTTGTTACGCAGTAAGAAACACCTGGAAGGGCTGATGTTGGGACAATGTCATCTGCTTTACCATTTGGATAATTTCCTCTCCATTCTTGTGCCAGCAGAGTTGAAATTTCCATTAATCACATCATACCTTCTCTGGTGTCTAGTGGCCAAGCTAGCATTGATGGCTTCCATCAGAAGCTCGAGGAGGAGCTTTTCCTGCCCATGTCCTTGGCACCCACTCAGGAAACACACCATCAAAGGCCCAGCAGATGAAGGATAAAACCAGGAGACTTCATTGCAATAAAAAATTACTTTTGACTTCTCTGGAGTTTGCAGTGTTTTATCTGCAGGACTGTGCAGGCAGTAGCGACCTGGGGTTAGAAAGATGCCTCCAAGTCTAGGAGCCATCGGGTCGATGGCCACAGTAGGGTTAGGGTCAGCTGGCTGAGAAGGTGGCTTTATAATCTGGAGTAACCAAAGAACATGGGGAGTTGGGCTCACCCATACTTCTCTGCTTTCCAAGCTGTTGTACTGGCAACTAGGTGTGGGTCTTTGTCCAGAAAAGATGAGGTGACAGTTTTGTCCCTGATGTATGACACTGCAGTAGCAGCGAGTCATATGGGCACACAAGAGGTCTCTGTGTTTTAAGAGATGATTTTTCACTTGGTTCCATGAGGTACCATGTCATGTTGGTTAAAGCCCCGAAGCCTGGAGATCTGGGTTCTTGTCCTTGCTCATCAGCCCATGAGATGTGACCAAATCATTTCACCTTGCTGTTACTTGGGATTTCCACTGGTGAGATAAAGAGGCTACAAACTGTAGCTCCTCCTGAAACCTGAAAGCAAAGGGTGGAAATACTGTACCCCTAAATGAACAGTCTTCACAGCAGCTTTCCAAAATACGTAAGGGTCACACAAGTGATCAGAGGTCTGGAGCAGCTCTGCTGTGAGGACAGGCTGAGAGAGTTGGGGCTGTTCAGCCTGGAGAAGAGAAGGCTCTGGGGAGACCTTCTAGTCAACTTCCAGTACCTGAAGGGGCCTGTAAGAAAGATGAGGACAGATCTTTTAGCAGGGCCTGGAGTGATAGGACAAGGGGTTGACCGGAGGCTGGCTGTGGAGGTATCTCCATGATGGGTGCAGTGGTGGTGGGCTCTCAACACACCCCATTTTACATTGTCTATGTGACTACCCCTGGCCATGGCTGGAGACATGTTGAGCTGGCTGGACCTTCATGTGGACATGGCTTTCCAGGATGAATGTTACAGTACTGGTCTGAAGAATGATCTGAAACTCCTCATGAAGCACTTTAATTTATGGGATCTTCACTTGCATTCATCTGTTGAAATGAAAGACGAGGTGATGCTCTTTGAGGTAAGAAGGCTGGGAAATAATCAGCAAAACTATGGCTTTTCAATACTATGGCAGCTTTAGCTAAAATGTTGCAGCCTTCACCTCCAGCTGAGCTAATTTTAGCCCTCATTCAGTTTAAAAAGAAAGAAAAAGAAAAAGAAAAGAAAAAGAAAAAGGAAAAGAAAAAGAAAAAAAGAAAAAGAAAAAGAAAAAGAAAAAGAGAAAGAGAAAGAGAAAGAAAAAGAAAAAGGAAAAGAAAAAGAAAAAAAGAAAAAGAAAAAGAAAAAGAAAAAGAGAAAGAGAAAGAGAAAGAAAAAGAAAAAGGAAAAGAAAAAGAAAAAAAGAAAAAGAAAAAGAAAAAGAAAAAGAGAAAGAGAAAGAGAAAGAAAAAGAAAAAGGAAAAGAAAAAGAAAGAAAAAGGAAAAAAAAAACCAGGACAGAAGGATGCTGAGCACCAGCTCATCTGTGTTCCCATTCACCCAGAGCTTGTTCAGCTAAAGAGCTGGTAGATGCAGGGTGGGAAGTAGTCTGAAGGTTAAAATAGAGATTGGAGATTAAAATGAGGAAGAATTTCCCCTTGGCTGGGGTTTGCCCATCCTTAGGGCTCAGAAAAGCTTCAGCCCCATACAGCAAAGCTGTATGCTGAGCTGGTGTAAACCTAGTCCAGTGTGGTCCAGCGGGCGTTGTGCTGTTCAACTGGAGGCTTCATCTGGTTTGCACCACTCCCGCTGTACGTGAATCCTTCCTCAGCCGGCACAAAGCCAGGCTTAAACACATGTGCCTACATAAACACACCAATCCTGGAGGTAATTTGCCAGAAATGCAGTTCTGAGGCCGCTCTTGATCTGGTCAAATGCCTGGATTAAGGAGCAGAACCACAGTCCCAACCTACCCTTGGACAGAGGAGCTGTGGGCAAGGGCAGAGCTGGCTCCTTCCCAAATGAAAACGCTTGATGCCCAGCCTCCAGGTCATTCCTGGCCAGCAATATTATGTTCTTCTCCATACCCACAGCACCTAAATTCAGGCACCTCCCCAGGTATGAGCACCTCCAGTTCCATGGGCATCTTCCAGCAGGGTAGTGGTGGCCCTGGGACCTCAGGTATCATTGCGCTCTGTACAGCTTAGCTGTGATTTCTGCTTTTCCCTCTTTGGAAATCACTTTACTGAAAGCTCATTCACTTAAGAGGCTCATAAAAAAGCTGGCTGAGGCAGTCTGAACTCCTGATTTCTCAGTAGATGGTCGGACGTGTCTCCTTCCTTATTTCCTTATGAAAGAATTTCTCTTTATTTGGGATGTCTGAATCAGTCTCTTCTAGTTGACTGTATTCTTGCTTTGGACCACGGCTCCAGGGTAATCAGTGCTAAATCTTCTAATGATATACTGCAACACAGTAAATTACAGCACAGTTGAGACATTACTTCCCAATATTGCTGAGCAATAATTGAAGAGTGCAAGAAAAAGGGTCAAACGACGTAATTTTTTGCTGCGAAATCATATGTGAAGTATGCTTTAACTGTTAGCTCCTGATCAAAGGTATTGTCTATAATGGCTGATGTACT